AAACAAATAAAAGATTACAAAAAAACTTGAAAAAAGAAAAAACGGGAAAAAGTTTTTATTTACAAAAAATTAAGAGTCTTTGAGATATTTTCCAAGAAATCCGAGCATTCAATAAGTCGGCTTTGATAATCTGTGCACAATTGATGCAGTTTTTTCTGGCGATCTCTCTCAAAAGTCGACACTTGCTTATGTCTTATGTGGAATGACCCCATCTTTGTCAAATTTCTTCAGCGTTGTAGCAACTGATGCAGCGTCTTGTTTCAGGCAGCGAATTAGTAAACAAATGGTGGGATTTTTCCATTTTTGGGACCATCAAGTCAAGTGCCCAGAAAAATTGCCCCAGTTGTTTTCACCAGACAAACCCCATTTCCACCACAGAAGTGGAACATTCATCAGGCTGTGCTCATTGATCTTGGCGCAACTAACAATTTCAGTGAAGCTTGGAATTGCTATTTCAATGGACTGGTTGGAAAGAAAAATCCCACCATTTGTTTACTAATTCGCTGCCTGAAACAAGACGCTGCATCAGTTGCTACAACGCTGAAGAAATTTGACAAAGATGGGGTCATTCCACATAAGACATAAGCAAGTGTCGACTTTTGAGTTTTGAGAGAGATCGCCAGAAAAAACTGCATCAATTGTGCACAGATTATCAAAGCCGACTTATTGAATGCTCGGATTTCTTGGAAAATATCTCAAAGACTCTTAATTTTTTGTAAATAAAAACTTTTTCCCGTTTTTTCTTTTTTCAAGTTTTTTTGTAATCTTTTATTTGTTTGTTTTCATTTTTTTAAATCATTGTTTTTCTTCAAGAGCTCGTGTACTTTCCTCAATCAGTAGCAAAGTAATGAAGTTTAACCAGCAGCAACTACCAAACTGACTACCAAAGACTACCAGTCCTGAAAATAAGTTCGGGCGGGGCTTTCGTTACAGCTGTGCGCGGGTATGGCGGGGATTTTGTGTCAGGGCTTTTGTCGCGCGAGGCTTTCGTGTCCCGGGCTTTCGTCGCGCGGGAACCCCGTTACAAACCCGTATCATTCCTTCAAATAAGTTTGGTTCACACAGTAAAAACAGGTATGTTCACTCTGGGGTTCAGATGACAATTGATTACAGTATAGCATTTGATGATACTGGCTTAGATCAAGTCCTTCTCAAGGAAGTTTCTCCAAGGCTTTCTGATGAAGATGTAAACCATTTGTGTGTTTGTAATACCCATTAATTCCTTTGGCCAAGTGATGATTCACACGTGTGGAATAACTCCTGATGATCATTATCTTCAAGGCTGGTCTTTTGTTAGGATTCTTACAAATTATGATTTTATATTTCTGTACTTTTCTGTACTAGTCAATCTGCAACAAGCATTAAATGAATTGAACGAATGATTTGCAAACCATCTTGAAAAAACGGAAGATCCATACAAGAATTCCAAATCTGACCTGGGACCTCTTCAGCAGTCCTTTTTTGCTAAATAGTTTTTATTTCAATCCTGGCTTTAATTTATTCTTGGACAGTTCTTCACTAAAACAATTTATACTACTCCTTATTACATATTTTAGGAACTTTTAACAAGTTTCAATTATATATTTTCATTATATTTCAGGAATATTTAATATTTTAAATTGAAAAAAGAAGTACTTTTACCGAGACAGTATTTATTGAGATTCTTTTAGATGCATGGTTTATATCTCCGAGACTGTAGAATTATATTATCATTCCATTCATCATGAACATGTGATCAAGCTTGAGACATGCTTACTAAAATTTGTGTGTGTGATTATATATATGAATTTATATTCAAGGATAATGTATTTTTGCTTTAAAAATTTGACCATGGAATGAATGCACAACGACCAGAAAATCATTGCTCTCAAACTTTCGTATGTTCCTATTAAACTTGAATTAAGTCATTGGGACTTAAGCTGAACAAGTTGCTATTGAGACTTTGACCTTTTTTTTTCTTTCGAAAAATTAAATTTTTGACGTATCCGGCGTGAAACCAGTGCATGATGTTTCATGCAAAAGCAGAGCTTCATCAGATCAAGAGATGCACATGGGTTAATTGAAATTTATACGTGAAACAAAAAATGGGTGGATTGATTTTTCGAGTACTGTACCTTATTCACAGAAATGCCGAATCATCATCCAAGACCTACGAACAATACTGTACACAAAATATAATTTCCCAGAACCTTTTTAAATTTAGCTGAGAATAGAGAGCTATTAAAAATCATTTGAAAGCGGAAAAAACAGCGACATTTTTGAAAATGATATCATATCCTCAGGAGTCAGGATACGTTTATGAAATTATTAAATAAGTCGTTGGTGTTCTAGAAAATCTTTTGAAGTATATATGAAGAGCAACTGAGAACGGCGTAAAATGCAGTACAAAACTCCAATTTCGGAAGATTGCGATTGAAGAAAAAAATGATGCTTTGTTCGAACCTAGAAACCCTGTAGATGGGATCAGCTTGCCCAGACGAACAGGAGACAGTTTTTGCAAAATGCGTGCCATTTCGTAGATCCAATCCGGGTCCAACAGGAGCAAGTCCCGTTTCGGATAAGCCCGTTTCCACGCAAAAAAAGGTTGCAGAGGGTCTCGATCTCCGCATTTTCGAATCTTCTCTGCTCCTAAATTTTCCAAGCACTACAGTATATGGAAGAAGGATTTTTTAACATGTAGTGTAGGACTGTAGGAAAACCTCTTCGAGGTTTATTTTTGAAGATTATTGAGAGTTAATTATTCTTCGTTGAGATCCTTATGAACCTAAAAAAAATTAGGACTGGTTTTACCTAGAACTGTGAAATACACCTACTGTAATTTTTACTGGTGGCATTGGTTGAAAATTGCGAAGAACAACTTAATCGAAAATAATTTTAATAACAATAATCGAGGGAAACAGCCAATGGGGATTTTGTTGGCATGCAATTATCCCTGCGGATATTAACAACATCCTACGTTTATCACAGGCTTTATAATGAAATATGATTTTTAATTCATGACTGAGATTCTTGTGTCTTTCTCTCCTTTTTAATATGCATGTCCAACAGCTATTCTGGACACAGTATACGGTACAGTACTTTTTAAATATTTTCCTCGTCTTTTGAATAGACGCAGTAGTTTTTGCCTCCAGGTGTGCCTGATGGCGAAAGTTCTCGAATCCCAGGAATAACTCGATTTACTGGAGGCAAACGAAACAGAAAACGATCTCATCAAAGGTTAATGTGAATTTTAAATGCAGAGAAGTTGTGAACCACAAAAATAATTGCTTATGGAAATTTCTTGGTGGAGAGCAAAATCTTGTTATATCAAAGACAGGGTGATTAGGAGGAAAAATTCTTCATAACAATAAAAGATTCAAAATTCTTTGTGCAGCGTATGCTGTAGAGTTTCAATGCTGTGGGAAACATGTTGAAGATTATTTAATAGTTTTGAATACTTCTGGAACAAACTTTCACAAAATATCCTGCATTTTAAACAAAATTCTTTTGAAGAATTATTCGTACGAAAAATTCCGTGTGTTAAATAAAATGTGCTTATTTTAGGCCTCCCCTATTCTTACATTTACTAAGCATATGCTGATCTCAATGAAGTACAATCTTAAATATATAAAATAAATTCTTTGATAGAGCATTTATTCAAAGAGGACTGTATTTTCCCAGAAATTGATCAGTACCTTTCCCAAACAAACTTTTCTTCCTGAAAATTAGCCCTATCTAAATTCTAAAATAAAGCTGATTACATGCTGATTAAAGGTTCAAACTTCCTGGAAAGCAAACATCCCTACGCAAGAAGATTAGCATTTATATTTTTGGAGGTTTTCAAATTCTGCTCAATCTGCGTTTTTGATGTTGTGACAGTTGATGAAAAATTGCCATGCCCTGTATACACACATGCTCAAGAACAAATTTGTTATACTGAGATTATAGAGGAAACTTGCTTCGTTATTACTGAATTTTTACACCATTGTCCCAATGAAGAAACTGCAAGGAGCTAGAAAAATTGTCAAGATGAAAAATTCTTCATAAGATTCGTAGTAATTATGGAATTCAACTGTTTGACAAAACAACCGTCCAATTCTTCCGAAGGGTTGAGATTTTCTTTTATTAAAAATCAATTAGCGAAAACTCACCGTTTTGAAGGGTTGAAGGTGGTTACAGACATCCCATGCAATGAGAAGAGCATCCTTGGAATCCGGAAAACACGGTGGACTCTTATTGGTGCAAGGCACTCGCAACGACAGCATTTCGTGATTATTCAGAAGCCTGATGGTGGTCTTGGAACCCACATCCGTCTCGAAATTGACCACTGGAGCAGTGTTCATTCGCAAAACTTGTTGGCACCTGTCTTTTTATGAAAGGCAGAAGAATTTAAATGACTATTGGCCCCAACTTGCGGACACTTAATTATTTCTCGAGCCCTCAACTAGCTGTTCCTGTAATATGTTGAAACGTCTGCATGTTGAATATCACACTTTCCCTTAGACTTGGATGGGAATATATTTAATTGGTTAAACCGTTGATCAAAAATCTGGGGGGGGGGGGGAATTCTCCAAATATCGTTTCAGAATATGTTCCTCATCTTCGAAATAAAAAGATATAACTGTGCGGATAAATAATACCACTCAAAATCTCATCTGTTGCCAAAAATACCCCAAAAAGCAAAGAACAAGAACATGTCTTTATATACACTGTGCACATATGATGAAAAGCGTGTCCGGTCAGCCGCCGGTTGGTCAATTGACGGTCGCGCACCTGCGGGTCGTCAAGCCCGGGTTGGTCCAACCGCCAGCCAGGGCAGTTCTTGGCCTCGCCAATCCCCAGCCCACCAAACTGCGGTTTGGTCACCCGATTGTCGGGGCACTTGAACAATCGGGTGACAAGAATCATGCTGATTTTTTGTTCAGAATTCAGTGAGCAGTATGGTATCCTACCACAGATTTTTTTTTTCAAAATTTCAGCAATGTTAATAGTTTAGGTTAGGTTAGGTTAGGTTAGGATATGTTAGGTTAAGTTAGGTTGAGTTTGATAAGTTTTTTTTCTTTTTGTGAAAATTTTTATAAGATGAAATTTTGTAAAAAAAAATCTATGGTAGGATACCATTCTCCTCACCAAATTCTAGAAAGAATTAGCATGATTCTTGTCACCCAATTGTTTGGGTGCCCCAACAATCGGGTGACCGGACCGCAGTTTGGTGGACTGGGGATTGGCAACGCCAAGGACTGCCCTGGCTGGCAGTTAGACCGACTGGCGCTTGACAACCAGCGGGTGCGCCACCGTCAATTGACTGACTGGCGGATGACCCGGTACTGATGAAAAGAACTCCAAAAATGTTTAACAAAATTAGCCTGTTTTGGATCACAAATTATGTAGCATTCATAATAATTGTATTTCTAATTTTTTGAACAACAAGGTAAAATTTTCAAAATACAGTACATTGTATAGTATAGATATAATATAATATACAGGAGGTACCTTGCAATTCCACCCTAATATGTTGCTGAAGTGGGGTTGAATTGCAAATTGGTCCAATTGGAGACACTAGGTGAAATTTAAAAATATGAGTACAAAAGCGCAAAAACAAAGAAAAAGCAGGTCAAAGTTTGGGGCGAGAGTCAAATTGCAATTCAACCTCCCTGCAATTTTGACCTTCAAATTGCGGGAGGTTGAATTTCAAGGTACCACCTGTATATACTGCATATAATATAGTCTATTTTAAAAATTCTAAAAATAAAGTCTGAATTTGTCTATAGAAGGGTTTGTCAAGTGTCCATATATCTCAAGACATTGTCCAGATATTGGGTCAGATTTTTGAGGTTCAAGAGTCCTCAAGTCAAATTGTTTGGATACTCTGCATCCAGACCTTGCTGTACAAAACTGTACTATTGTATATAATTTAAGCTTTTCGATTAGTCTTTATTTTTTCTTCCTGGCATTTCCAGAGTAAGTAAGTAATTTTCCATTTCTGTCAAAAATTGTCATTTATTGAATATGAAAATTTAACTTTTGCAAAAATCGAATAGGTTGAATCGCATCAAGTTTTTATTACATCACAGCAATGCTTGCGTTATAGTGTTACATTGAATTAGGCTCGGGGAATAAAGAGGCGACACCTGCATGAAGCATTTAAAACCTTCAAAAACGTAAGGGAACAAGCGAACAACAGATAAGGCCATTGTTAGCCCAGAAATGTTGAGTTTACCAGCAAAGAAACAACTCCCTTCTGACATGAGTGGTTATTGGCTAGGTTCTGAGCTAAAAAGGTTAGAGGGTCTTGAGCTTTGTTCAGGTGTACAAAGTAAGCACTTGGAAAAGCATTAAAGCGACAGAAGGCCCTTGTTTAGGGGGAGTGGAGTTTGCGAAAACAGACTAGAGTGTCTGGAAATTATTTTTGGCGATATCTGCTTCAATTCGCACATTACTTCGCGGTCCGAAAAATTCACCCACTGGTGGATCATTTCTTGTGGAAATGAGTGCAATGAACTTGTCAGTATGCTCCATTTTGGTTGCTTCTCGTGAAGATTGTTCCAGAGGAGGTTTTCCAGACGTAGTCTTGCGCCTGTGGGCTGCATTCAAGTAAAATTTCTACCCAATTTTTGGAAAAATTTTCCATCTTTCGAACTACGAAGGGTGGCGGGAATTTACTCATTCATCAAAGAAAATCTCCATCGCGTTGAAAATAATCGTATACTGTACAGTATTTTCTGCCCTTATCCAATACGGTGAATGAAATGCAGTATAGTGAGTCCCCACGTAAAGAAATACCCTTATAACACGAAAATTTCGCACAAAGACATTGTTTGGACATCAAAATTGAGTAAAAGTTCTCGCATAACAAAAATCTTCCGCGTTACGAAACTTTCATTGTAATAATATGCGATCAAAATAAGAATAAAACTCGGGAATTTCTCTGAGGTGCAATCACTATTCCTTGATTGCCATGTTTCCTTGATTAATTTCAGCTTTTCAATTTTTCTTATCCAACCATGAAACGAATGAAAAAGCAAAAAATATCCGTCAGAAGCGACATATCTGGGGACTTCACATGTACAAATCTAGTCCACATTGAATTTTTTCAGAAAGAAAGCAAGACGTAGTGTACAGAAGCTGATTTTAGACAATGAAGTGAAAAGTAATTAGTGTAGGGTGTACATTTGTTCACTTCTGCGTGTTAAGAATTTTTACTGTTTACCACTGTCTTCAACATCGTGGGAATGCATTAAAATTGTCTCCATTTATTCTTAGGGATATGCATGATTCACACAATGCAAATTTTTGCATTTCAGAAAAATCCAAAAAGCATTATAGTTATTTTAATGCGGGGACACACTAGTACTCGTATTTACAAGGCACGAGTCTATCTGCTGGGCTACTATTAAAAATAGTAAAAAGATGACCATAGTTAATGACCACAAGGTCATTGAATTTCGTTCGGAATCTCAAGAGTGAGTATGTCACATGTCCACATTACATACATTTTCAGGGAATAATTCTGCTTTCAGGAAGAGAAGTGAGACCCCAACATGCGGACATAATTTGTGCTATAAAAGTGTCCTGATGTTGGAATTTCCCCTGAGTTGAATCTCACTTTCCCTTAGACTTCAATGCTAATGTATTTAATTGGTTCTCCTTTTTGTCAAAAATGAGAAATAAGTCCTCAAAAAATTAAATAAAAATAATTTCCCTCAACTTCAACTTGCAGAAAAAAAGTGTAAACAAAACCACATGACATCTCATCTTTTGGTACCAAAATGACATCCAAAAGCAAAGAAAAAGAAGGTTTTACTATAGAATATGCTGCACAGATGATAGAAAAAACTCTGAAAACAGATGGCACAAAATCAGCTCGCTTCTGATTATGAATTAGAGTAAATTTATCATAAAATATTTTTTTCAATTTTCGGGAATATAATAGCTTCATTTCTTCAAATGATATCAAAATTAAAAAATTTAATGTTTCAATTTGTTTGAGAGAATTCCAGAAAAGTGTCTCTACCTCAAGCCAATGTACAGATGTTGGGCCTAGTTTTTTTTGGCTTTCAAGTGTCCCTTAGTTTAAATGTTCCTATGTCGGGGTTCTTCATAATCAATCTATTCCTGTTAATAGAAAAAACTTCCAATTTTAACAAATGATGAGTTCCCAAGTCAAATCGTGAAATATATTCTGCATTCCACTTTGAAATCGCATCCCATATTTATTCCTTTGAAATTCTTCATAGTGGGGATGACATTCCATATTTCACTGCCAGTTTATTGAAAGTACAGTACAATCTTGAAATTTCATGATCTTGAATTTTAATTTCCATCGCACTGAATGAGAAACTTGCCCAAACTTTCGAATAGTAAGGAAGAAATGTTTGAGCAATATAAAAATAATCCTACGCTGATGAGCACAATGTGTTTAGTGATCTGAAAAGGATTTGCAGAATGTTGAATTGGATATGCTGCCCTTCATTGGTTCAACAAATAACTCGATTTCAGATTTTAAAAATTACATTTTTAGCCACCGTTTATTGTATACCGTCAACAATTTTTCTATTGAATCACGCGACATTTCACAGGCTTCACCTTTTTGCCGGAAATCCGTCTGCTAACATCATCAAGCTGAGCAGTAGTGAATATGTTTAGAAATATTCAAAAAATTAAATGAAAAACCTCATTATTATTAATTCTTTTGATTTGTGGAAATTGCCTGAGCAGCACGGAATTGTCAAAATTTTCTTACTTGTCCACGGATTGTCTTCGAGTTTCAGTCGACGAGACGGAATAATGGAATTTCTTTCATAGCACCAGAGAACCAAGAAATGCATCAACAACAAGGTCACGAAAACTGCGATTATCGACGGGATTTTGCGGGATTTGATCGCTGCTCTCGTTTTCACCGAGACACAAGCAAACTTTGAAAAACTGGTCACCATCTGTGGATTTAACAGGTCTTCTTCCGTCATCATCATTCACTCGGATCTGTGACAGAATAAGAAGCTCCTGCTGCCGACGACGGAGAATTTACATTTCTCACGTCAATTTATTTTTTCCCGACTTTCCCCCTCCCTGCCTAGATACGCTAAATTTTCTTCCTGCGGAATAAACGAGATTTCGGGTCTGGTGAGAACTGGAAAGGATAAGGATTAGCTATAGGTATTGCATAATTTTTGTACATGATTGAAGTTGTTCTAGATCAGTGTTCCCCAACCACTTGGTCGGTGGAATGGTGCCAGGTTTTTACTGGTCCAGGGGGAATTTCGTTTGGCATAATCAAAAAAGGAGGGATAAAGTCTTTTATCTTTATGTTAAATTTTGGAAGGACAATGGCAGCTGAAATTATCTGATAAAAATAAAACTTAGCTTTTCTCCTACAATAAATAACATGACTTCAGACAGATTTTTGCGTGCTTGAATAAATTATTCTAATTTTCCATTCTGAGAAACCATGCAGTCTTCATCAGTCCCACATTTGTAATTTTTTGAAGACATTCCACGACAGCTGCTTTATTGGTCCCCCACTTAATTTTTGTTAAAGCAGTAAATTTTAGAACAACTGTGGCAAAGTCTTTCAAGTAAAACTTGTCTGAGTCATCATGAAGAATTTTATGAAACTTTTCATGTCTGCAGAAATTTTTTTGAAATTTGCCGGTTCAGAAAAATTTTGAGGAAATTTGCTGGTTTGCAGGCCAAAGAAGGTTGGGTAACACTGTTCTAGAGTATCTATAGGTAACATATGTTTTCCTCTATTCTTGCGCTCTTATGTGCTAAACTTGTGTATTCACTATTCAGCCACGCATTTCTACTGATGGGTTGAAAGGTGAAAAATGGACTGAGAAATGGGCGTCAACTGTTGGCACATATTATTTCATGCAGACTGAAGTTTTCCGGTGTTTACCTTCGAGCAAGAACTGGTATAGGAGCTACTCCAGATAATATTTCCCAAGTTTTGGCATTCAGAAGCACTTGACATCACCATGTTTTCGTTCATCAGTGGCGACGTTCCTTTTTTCATGCCTTCGAAAATCCGTCCTTGATAAAATCAAAACTATATGAAGCTAGAAAAACAACCAACAGATTTCCAGGAAAGTGTTTTCTCATTCTTTGTCCGGAAACTCAACACACTCGTACGCGGTCATTCACATTTGATCAATGCTGGGAGCTATGAAAACGAATAAAATGAAGCTTAAGAAACGTGAAAAATGTCGCTCAATAGTATTTGCCGTAAAAAATTCGTCAAGTTAATCGTCTCTTGAATTTTCATAGTGACGATTGATCAAATTCTTCAATAAAAGTGTCAAGCCATTTTCTAAATGAATTTAAAGCTTTTCCGTCTATTTATTTATGTAAATTGTCCCTGCCGTTGCAATTTAACAAAAACAGGCCATGCATTGTTCAAGTTATACGAGTTGAAGCAACAACAAAAATGCCGATTTTAATTTTTTCTTGAACGGTAAAAAAACCATCATTACTTGATGAATCCGTTCACTTTTCAACAATTTAACAAAATTGATAATACTCAGTGATTCTTCTCCTGCTGCCATTGAAAATGAATATATACGATATAGATGACTCGGATGCTGTATAATATGAGTATATATAGACTATAACAAAATTAAAAAAGGTCTCATCAAGAACTCTTTCAAAATCTTGCTTGGCTTAAAGCACAGTCTTTCAAAATTGATATCCTTGCTCAATCAACATAACCAGAAGAAGGTAAGATGAAAATGCTACTGATTTCAATGAAATTTGCGCATCTAATATAACACAAAATCATACATTCAGTAAAATTCTCAAATATCTGCCTGTTGCATGTTGACATAATTATTTAGTCCACCTGCAATGTTGTGAGACTTGTGACACATATACTGTCAACCCCAATCTAATGGACTTAAATAGTGCAATGGACAAGTCTGTTGGACAAAAAGTCCTTTAGACAAATTCAATAATATAAAAAATTAAAAATATTTCAATTTTGAACACTAATTTTGAACCAAAAGAATAAGTCTGTTTAGTGGATTATTTTACCTGTTGTTGCAGAGCTGGTCTGTTGGGCAAAAATCCCTTAGGTGGGAGGTCTGTTACTGTTAGACAGGGGGCACTGTATAAATATTTTTAACCCTTGAGTGGCTAAGTTGGACTATATTTGCAAAATTTCGTTGTTCCTGAGAGAGATGAAAAAAATGACAACAAGGGGGGTCAAGGGCAAAGTAGGGAAAAATTTTGATGTTTTTCCCTCAGTACAGAAAAACTTTGAGGGGAAAAAATGCTCAGTCAAGCAACAGGCTTTTCTGGGATTAATCCCAACTTTGCCTCAGCCCACCTGGAAGGATTTTTCTGACCTTCAAAAAACAGAAAATGCTGGAGGATACAAAAATAATCCATCTTTGTCTTGCAAGGGGAAAGAACCCTCAGCTGTCCAACAGCTAAATAAAATGGAATCATGAGCTCATTGAAATTTCAAAAAAGCTGGCTTGAAAAGCAGCTCAAATTTATCAAAGCTCACATGTTAGAACTTCCATTCTGTCACTTAGATGACAATTAGGTGATTAATGTGAGTTCCCGACTGGGTTATTAAAAAATCTGAACAGCTTGAAGCACTTTGCGATGAAATTAGTCTTGAAAACACAAAGTCTAAAACTTTGAAAACCATTGCGTACATGAATCTGTTAAAATTTTTCTCCTCACTCGCTTTCAAAGTATATCCTCGTTTTATGGCATTCATTGAAGATTTCGTCCGCTCTGTTGAGAAATTCTGGTCAGCATTGCTGAGAAACAAAGTCGAGAGTTAAAAAAAAAAAGAGAAAAAAAGTGCCGTCAATATGGTTCATTTCATGGTTCAATACAGAAGAATTTCGTTACAAAGAAGTGTTTGGGAGCTGAAAAAAGCTTTGTAAATGAAACTTCGTTGAAACGAAAGTAGAAAAAAATCATTGCGGCTAATATTGGACAGGGACCAAAAACTTCCTTTTAAGCAGTAATTCGTTATAACGAGTTTCTGAGGTATACCAGGAAATGGTAAAATTAATTTTGTGGGGATATATTCATGAGCAGTAAATTCAATACAGGCCCACTCTCTTCACAGCGAAATTCAAGTGACTATAGAAAAAAATCGTTGTGGACAGAATTTTGTCAAAGAGAAGCCTATATGGGAACAAAACTAAATTCGTTCAACAGAGAAAATTTTTGTACAGACAAAATCGTGGTAGCACTAGTCTACGTGTAGCAGCTTTGTAACGCATGTTCGATCAAATTCCAAATTTTTGAAAACTATTCGAGTGCATCACTGCTGAAAATTGGAACGCTGAAAAAACGCATGGATTAAGCAAAAATGCGAGCATAAGTTCCATCCAGTATACAGTGCAGTACTTGTAAATTTTCAGAATTTATGAAATACTGTGCAATGAGACCTCCAGATGTGGAATTACAGTAATTGGTGTATCAAGAGTGTCCCTAAGTCAAGTCTTGTTTTCCCATAGACTTACATTACTACATAATTTTCAATTGGCGTTTTTTTTTTTTAATACTGTAATCTTCAGAATTCCATGAAAAAAAATTTTTCCACTTGAATTTGATTCAGTGAATATATTTTTGACCCAATAAGAAAATTTGGAGCATTGAATAGGATACTGCTGTACAGTTCATTGAAATGTTGTCATCTGTAAAATTAACATCCAAGTCACATAGAGAGAAGGAACTCCCTCTGAGCTATAGGTATTTTTTTAATTAGCTGAATGGATGGAAAAGTGATGGGAAAAGTACCAGAGAATTTTTCTTGCATAGATCTTAGGGTGGGAAATATCTGTTTCTTGCAATTAAGCATTATAAAAATTGATTTTCCTAAAATGTATTTTGGAATTTCATCCTGCAATGTCCCCAAGTTGAGTCAGTGCCCTCCTGTCGGGTCTTTTTTATGATTTTTTTTTAATAAATGTCACCATGTCAAATTGTCTCCATGTTGAGGTGTCCACATGTGGGGGTCTCACTGTGTATATACAACTACAGCATAAGCATATGCTGTATATAGTGGCCATCATCATGGCCATCATACAAGAGCATTCTAAATGGGGAAAACATTTGTCAAATATACTGGGCTGCTACTGTTGACATGCAGGGATCATACGGTGAGACTTTTTCCGACTCAACAAGTGCATTCCTCCGGTTTGCTCAATTCTGCCACAAGTTCGCGTCCCCCGTTGGTCCTGGCACCGACTCAAAAGTCTGTCTTATTTTCCTGGCTTCAGCTCACTTCTCTTCCTTGATTTCCCACAAGGCACAGAGTTTTTTCTTGGACTTGGTGAAATGCAGTCTGCTCAAGTCGAATCCAAAAGCTTTGTCTGGAATTTTCCGCTGCTTTTTATACACGCGTAATCGTATAAACTTAGTCCGGTATTCATTATTTTGAAGAACTGATCAATTTTTCTTGTCGATTCGTGTGAATTATTCTTGAAATGTCTGAAATGCAGTCTGTTTAAGTCGATTCCACAAGCTTTGAATGAAATTTCAGCTGATTTCTACTCATAATCGTTTAAACTTCTGGTTTACCCCATTTTGAAGAAGTATTCAATTCTTTGTGTCGATTCGTGTGAATTGTTTGTGAAATTTGTGAAACGCAGTCTGCTCAAGTCGATTTCATATACACTTTGGATGAAATTTAAACTTATTACAGCACTACGTACAGCACGGATGATACGGTTCTCGATCTAAACTTTCGGTTTTCACCATTCCGAAGAAGCCTTCAAATCTTCGTGTGAATCATGCTAGAACTTTGTGAAATGCAGTCCGCTGAAGTTGATTCCATGAGAGGTCTCTGAGATTTTAGCTGATTCCTACGCGTATTACTCATATAAACGTACTTCTGGATTATATACTCTATTTTGAGGAAGTATCCAAGTTTTTGTGTCGATTCGTGTGAATTATTCTCGAACTTTGTGAAACACACTCGTCTGCTGAAGTCGATTCCAAG